TTTGCGCTTGGATTCCCCTCTCCAGACTCCCCAGAGGCAACGACGACGGTGTCGAGACCCATCAAATTTCATATGTCCATGAATTTTATTCGAGTTAATGTTCCTCATGTAAATGTGATCCTGGACACTCATGATGTAAATGATCCTGCCTAGAACTAACAAAGTGCAAACTCTATTTCAAAAAAAGGAATGCTAGCACTACGATGGCAGGAACAGGTGCATATATACACAACTATTTGTATAGCATAAATATCTTATTTCGTTTGAGAACAAGCAGCAGCCATAGGTGCTACTAGTACAAGCAGTACCTGTAGAACTGAGCATTTGGCTACAACCATCAGAAGAATGTTTAAGAATTTTCTAGATCACATTTTTTTTGTCATGTTGCTGCCGAAGAAGCCACAATTGTTTGTGCAGGGAATTGGGGCCTTAGGAGCGTGGACTCCAGTGTCCTTACACTCTTATTTCTAGCTCTCTTGTGCCAGTACTACCAATAGACTGCAGGGACACAAGTTCACAATTCATTAAAAGGCAAATAAGAACACAAAATCAGTAAGTGGGACAAAAAGACAGAAATACATGATTTAGGTTCAGAAAGAAATACAACCCAATGTCCAACAGTTGGAAGTAATTAACACATACCACCAGGTTGCATATTAAGCAGCAGTACCAGTACAAGCAGCAACAGCCAAGAAGCAGAACAAGCAGCAACATATGCACAGTTACCAAGGAAGCCATTTCAATACAAAATATTTTTTTGTTCGGCACACATAGCTATTTGTCCATCATATAAATTAAAGCCTATTACAAAACAAGGTGGTGCTTCCTAAATTCATATTTATACAAAGAATTCATCATCAACACTGGTGCCTAAAGAGTTGACAGGTGCTACATATCCATCATCAACGTAGGTGTCATCAGTATCATCATCTTCATCAACTAAGTCTTCATCACATGGTTCAGGCACTGGTAGCGCATTTTCAATGACGGTTGCATCTCCAGTCACCCCTTCTAGGTCAGTCCTCCTCCAAGCTAACAAATCTTCATTCTGGCTTGAAATATTCACGGCTTCCACTCCCACCTCCAGTGAGTCAATATCAAGTTGTCCCTCATTTTCAGTGTCTAGTGGTTCAGGCATGGAAAACAATTTTCTAGACTTCATTCTTACAATAGTGCTCCACTCTGATTTCTTTGCACCTTTCACATAAAAAACATGCTCAGCTTGAGTCCCCAGGATGTAAGGATCATTTAGATACCGAAAACGAGTTGTATCGACATCTATAATCCCATATTGATCCCTACAGTACCCTCTGCTCTTGTTCTTACTAGGAGCAGGTACGTCATACCAATCACAGTGAAATAGTACGACTTCTTTTTCACCAGGGAAATCAAGTGTCAATATCTTTTTAATGACACCATACCACTCCATACTTGCAGAACTATCAACACCCTTAACTAAAACCCCTAAATTGTGTATTCAAGGCACTCTCTATAGAAGCCGTTCGAAAAAAGAAACCGTTGATGACGGACCTGTTGAAAACACGAACCTGGGGATCTGGTCCTCGAGAAAGGGCATATAGTGTATCACTAATCCCCCCTTCTTCATAAAGTTCATTTATCTGCAATCGATTTGAAAACAACAAAATAAATAAAGACAGTAGCTATTTTCTGTAAGCATCCAGTTGACAAAGTTACTCACCTTACGTTCAAACCAACCAACAAATTGCTCCCTGTGACGTCTCTCAACGCCGTGTGTAGTAATCTTTTTGAGTTCCTCCTTATGCAAACTACATACGATCAAAACAAAGGTACTCAATTAGAAAAAACATTAATCATGACGAACATTAAACACACACCAGTTGTAATTTCAACTTACTCAATCCATGGAGCAGCCTCGTCATAGTTTGTTATTATGTAGTCAATGGTCAGAAATACGCTAAGCCCATACGGTGATTCATTCACTACACTGGTTTCATGACGCTCTGGGCGGTTCAGCTTCGTATCAATATCTTCTAGGAACCGAGAACAAAATGTCATGCACTCCTCAGCGATATATCCCTCTGCTATAGAACCTTCAGGTTGTGCTTTGTTCCTCACATATCCTTTCAACGTACGTAGATACCTCTCGATAGGATACATCCATCTATAACATACAGATCCTCCAATTCTAGCCTCCTCAGCTAAATGAACTGGCAAATGCATCATAATATCAAAAAATGTTGGTGGAAATAACATCTCTAGCCGACATAAAGTCTCTCCAATTGAAGAGGTTAGTTTTTCAAGGTCACTTTCCACCAGTTCCTTTGAACATAATGAACTGAAGAATCTACTTAGCTGAATCAATGGGATAGCAACATCTTGAGGCAATATGTCGCGTTCTACTAGTGGTAATAGTTTCTGTAATATAACATGATATTCATGAGTCTTCAGTCCAGAAACCTTACATCCCTTGACGTCCACGCATCTCTTTATATTTGCTGCAAAACCATCAGGCATCCTCACTCCTTGTAGGAATTTGCATAACATTTTCTTCTCATCCTTGCCTAAGCTGTACAACGCTGGTGGCAAAGTATACTTGCCATTCTCCACCATAGGATGTTGATCCTTCCCGATCCCAAGATTCTGTAAGTCAAGCCGAGCCTTCTCACCATCCTTACATTTACCATCAATGCCAAGCAATGTCCCCAATATGCTCTCACCAATGTTCTTCTCGATGTGCATGACATCCAAATTATGCCTAATAAGCAAGTTTTCCTAGTACGGTAGTTGGAAGAATACACTCTTCTTTCTCCAATTGTGCCACCTAGTTTCTTCTTCACGCTGCTTCCTCTTCCTTGTGCCTTGCCCAAAATTTGGTTGCTCAAAACTATCATAGTGCTGCAGAATCTCTTCACCAGTAAGCGGCACCGGAGCCTCCCTTGTTTCTACCTTGTTGTTGAAGCTACTTTTATTCCTATGCCATCTATGATTTTGTGGCAAAAAGCGACGATGACCCATGTAGCAATGCTTGCACCCAAATTTCAACCATAAGTACTCTATAAACTTATGACAGTAAGGACATGCAAACTTGCCTTTAGTACTCCAACCAGACAGCATGGCATATGCAGGGAAATCATTTATGGTCCATAGTAGTATTGCACGTAAAGTAAATTTTTTCCTAACTTTTGCATCCCATGTGAGAGCACCCTTTTCCCAAAGATCCTTTAGCTCATCGATCAGTGGCTACAAATAGACATTGATGTTCATTCCAGGAGATTTGGACCCTGGTATCAGCATTGACATCATCTAATACGATTGTTTTAAACACAACCAAGGAGGCAAGTTATAAGGGATTATGATGACAGGCCAAGTAGTGTATGTAACATTCAACATCCTAAACGGATTGAAGCTATCAGAGGCAAGTCCAAGCCTTACATTGCGAGGGTCAGATGCAAATTCCTCCTCTAGGGCATCCAAATGCTTCCATGCCAACGAGTCCGCAGGGTGACACATTTTCCCATCACGCACCAGTCCTTTCTTATGCCAACGCATAAGTGCTGATGTCGACTCCCTCATAAACAATCTTTGCAGCCTAGGAGTAAGTGGTAAATACCGCAAGATCTTACGTGGAAAACGCTTTTGTCCGCCACAAGTGCTAGAGGACTCAGCATCTTCAGAAGAATCGGTCCCTTTCCACCTAGTCTAACCACAGGTTGGACATGTATCCAAGTCAGCATAATCCCCACGAAATAACACACAGTCGTTCACACATGCATGAATCTTTTGGTAGTCAAGTCCAAGATCTCGAACAACCTTACGCACTTTATCCAAGGTGTTTGGGATTTCATGGTGGAACAACGCGAACAGATCAAGGATCGACTGTATTCCATTGTTACTAAAACCATGCATGCACTTCATCTGATAGATCCTGATAATGAAAGAAACCTTTGTAGCTTCCTTGCAGCCTAGATACAGTTCCTTTTGTGCCTCGGTTAATAACTTAAAAAAAATTCTTTGCACTCTCATTTGGCTCTTCATCTCCACTTCCTGTGAGTTCACCATGTATAGCTCCTCTGATTAGTGCAAAAATCAGTTCTTTGTTAGCAAGCGCATCACCTGTTTCGCCATCATCACATTCTCCTTCAGCAGGGTTATCCTCCTGAGGACAAGCAACTAAATCTTCAGCATCACCTTCTTCGATGAAACTTTCATCGAACCCTAGTACCAAATGACATCGAACATCTTTTTGATTTCTGTAGGACATGCAATGGCAACGAGCACATGGACATGGAGCAGTTTCTTCTTTAGATGTGCCTCCAAAGGTATTCTGAATGAAGTCCTTAAATCCTTTTTGCCATTCAGCAGTATACTTGGCCATGCGCATCCAACTCCTATCTTCAATAGACATGCTGCTGCCTTGCCTCTAGGAAAACAGCCCACCGACTCTTCACCACAGATCCAACCTTCCCAACAACACCAACTATATTATCCGATTACCCTGCCTGCTTCAGCTTGAACCTGCATTAAATCAGTACAGTAAGGTTATTTTGTAATGAAACCCCAAGTTTAATGCACCGACGTTTCACGCTCTCTCGAGTGTTCTAGTGAACAGTAGAGTATGGCGATTTTTCTCTCCACCAGAAATCCACCTGCTACTGATCGGGATTCAGGGTCAGGAGATCTTCTGTGTGCTCGAGCTCATCTCGCGGTACACTCAATCTGCTCCTCCTTCCAGTCTATTGCTCTGTTCTTGCTATCCTGGCTTCATCTGGTTCCTGTCCATCGCGGTTCGGGGCGATTCAGGGGTGAACCTTGCTTCACTCCCCGCCCTTGGCTTCCGCTTGAGGCAGGGCTGGATTGTGCTTGGGGATTAGCAGAACAGGAAGGAAAGGGGCCTTTTTATCCTACGGATTGCGGAGATTCGGGCTGCGTAATCCATGAAGGGGGGAAATCAATTACCCTTGGAGTCTCCAAACCAAACGGTGAGCCAAGGGGCTCGAGTTCCACCATTGGATGACAATATGGCTGAGATGTTAGGTCGCTTGAAGTTGACATTAGAAGAAAGTGATGCAGTTGAGGTGGCAGATGATATTGAAGAAGATTTGGCAACATCTGATTGCGTCATTATTGGTAAGGTCCTGTCTCAAGGGGTCTTGCATATACAAACAATTACATCGGCACTTAAACCTGCTTGGGGTAATCCGAAAGGTTTGAGGATGAGAACAGCTGGGGATAATATGTTTATTGCAGACTTTGGCTCCAAACAAGACAAAAATAGAGTTTTAGATGGTTCTCCCTGGAATATTGGTAAACGGGCAGTTTTAGTTCAGGAGTTTGATGCTTCTATGAGGCCATCTGATATTCACTTTGATCACGTCGATTTGGGTGAGGATTTATAATATTACTTTTGGTCTGATAAATGAAAAATGGGGTTATGTGATTGCAAAGAAAATAGGGCCTGTTGAAAAATTAGAAGTGGATGATCAGGACCGTGCATGTGGAGCTTACCTTAGAGCAAAGGTACAGATCAATATAACAAAACCTCTTATGAGGGGCGTTTCAATTTTCTCAACCAAAAGACAAGTAAAGGAATGGTATGAGGTGCGATATGAGAAATTACCAAATTATTGCTACTCATGTGGAATTATTGGACATTCATCTGTTGAGTGTCTTATACCAGCAGAGCGAGATGCAGATGGCTTGCTCCCTTATAGTGGAGATCTGAGAGTTCCAGATGACAAAAAGAAAAGGCCTTCTGATGATGTAAATGGCCAGAACTCTATCTCAGCAGGGAAGAGTGGTGGCACAAGTGGCCAAGAATCAATGTCAGGTGCAATTGATCTCAGAACACTAAATAATCAGGTTAAAAGTACGGACAATTCTGGACATTAATTTTCCAGTCCGAATGATGCAAAGGATGAGAACGCATTCACAATCCCTTTAAGACGGTCTACTAGAACAAGAACTAATTCCTCTAAGAGTGCAGGAACAAATTTGTGCAAGGAAAAAAAACCCTAGCACATTTAACCAAGGCAAGAAAAGAAAACAAACAAGAAGTTCAACGCAGGGTTCACTGAAAGCTCTGACAGAACAGGATGATAAAGAAGTAGTTCCGATGGAAATGGCTATGGTTGTGGCTCAACCTAGTGAATCAGTTAGTATTATTTTGGGTGATACTTCTGAAGTGGGACTTGAAGAAAAAGAAAAGGAACTATTTAAGAAGCAGAAGAAGGAGCAAGACTTGCAACCAAGTATATCGGCGGCAGCTGGTCTCCAGCCCCGCCGAGAGCCATGAATCTCTTATGTTGGAACTGTCGAGGCCTAGGGATGGACTCGACAGTTGGCGAGCTTCGCCAATTGGTGAAGCGATACCGTCCCTCCCTCCTGTTTTTATCAGAAACCAAAATAAGGGATACTAAAGTGAGAAATTTAATGTGCTCCCTTGGATTTTCAGGTTGCTTTGCTGTCAGTAGCTAAGGAAGAAGTGGTGGCCTTGCTTTATTGGCCCCGTTCGCTGGTCTGAAACTTGGCTGAAAAACACTATTCTGGCTGAAATGTTGTGAGAGAAAAACACTATTCCGGCTGGAAAAAGAAGCCGAACAAGCCAAGTTTCAGACCAGCTGAACGGCCCCATTTTGGGTTAAGGAATGTGTGGTATCACTTGACATTACTCGATGAGTATTATTGATGTGCTAATAAATTTAGAAGATGGAAGTGTGTGGAAATCTACTTTTGTTTATGGAGAACCTAAAACAGAACAATGTTATCAATTCTGGGATCTTCTTCGTTTTATTAGAGCTCACTGGAACGGGCCTTGGTTATGTGCAGGAGATTTTAATGAAGCCTTAAGTAGTGATGAGCATTTGGGAAGAACAGAAAGAGGTGGATCACAAATGAAGCTCTTTAGGGAATGCCTAGAGAACTGTGGTCTCCTGGATCTAGGATTCTCAGGGCCAAAGTTTACGTGGAATAATAGGCAAGAAGGTATTAATAATGTGAGAGTACGCCTTGATCGAGCAGTGGTTAATGGTCAGTTCCTACAACTTTTCGATGACTGCCATGTAGATAATATAATCACCTTCTCCTCGGACCACTATGCCATTTTGATATCAATTGGTAGGGGAGGGGACACAAAGGATTACAGACATGTCACCCAAAATTTTAGATACGAAGCTATGTGGGCAAGAGCAGCCGACTACAAGGAAGTAGTGGAGAAGAACTGAACTGAAGGGTTGAATGGTCATAGGGACCTCCAAACTGTATGGCGAAATATTAATGAAATGGCTGGGAAATTAAAACAGTGGAGCTCTAGATCTTTTGGATCAATCCATAGAAAGATTCAAAAACTTGAAAAGAGAATGTCATTGCTTTGTTCCTCATGTGCCACACAGGGGTATTCGACTGAAGAGAAGGAAATAGAAAGGAAGCTTTGTGAGCTGTTGGAATGTGAGGAAATTATGGTTCGGCAACGATCAAGGATTGATTGACTGAAAGAGGGAGATAGAAACACATCTTTTTTCCAAGCTCGAGCTACTGCTAGAAAAAACACTAACAGAATAAAATACCTTATAAGGGAAGACAGTACAAAGTGCTTAAAACAAGACGAACTCCAAGGTATGGTCCATGATTTTTACATGAAATTATTTACTTCTGAATCATGCGAGGATATTGACAGTATTTTAGAGGCAGTCCCACAAAAGATTAACCAAAATATAAATGATGAATTATGTAAACCATATACAGATGAGGAGATTCAAGATGCTTTATTCCAAATGGGCCCAACAAAGGCGCCTAGCCCAGATGGCTTCCCAGCAATCTTTTATCAACGTCATTGGGACTTTTCAAGCATGATATATGCATGGCTGTCAGAAGTTTCCTTCAAGGCAAGAGCATTCCAGAGGGACTTTGTGATACCACAATTGTGCTAATCCCTAAGATATCTAAGGCGGAACACTTGGTAAACTACCGTCCAATCAGTTTATGTAATGTTCTCTATAAAATTGCTTCTAAAGTTCTAGCCAATAGATTAAAAATATTTTTAAATGACATAATTTTAGAAGAGAAAAGCGCTTTTGTTCCAGACCGTTTGGTAACTGACAATGTTCTAATTGCATATGAATGCATCCATACTATTAAGAAGCCGAAAGCTAAAACACCTTTCTTTGCTTTGAAGGTGGATATGATGAAGGCTTATGATAGAGTGGAGTAGAAATATCTAAATGGTATTATGCACAAGCTTGGTTTTGCCCAGGAATTTATTGCAACAATCATGAGATGTGTGACAAATGTGAAATATGCAATTAAAGTTAACGGAAAGCTATCTAAACCTTTCTGTCCATCACACGGCCTACATCAAGGAGATCCAATCAACCCTTATTTATTTTTTTATGTGCAGAAGGGCTCTCTAGTTTGATGAAGAAAAAAGAGCAACAAGGATATCTAAGAGGCGTTAGAAATGGAAGTACTGGCCCTCCTGTATCCCACCTCCTTTTTGCTGATGATACTATATTTTTCATAAGGGGTGATGCAAAGAGTGTACAAGCTTTAAATGATGTATTGCAAGTGTATAGTAATGGATCAGGCCAACGAATTAATTTTAATAAGTCATCGATTATCGGGTTTATAAATCCGGGGTCCCTCATGGACCGGCTTCCCAACAAAGGTTTGGCCCAGCAGACAATATTGCGAACGACGCGCAACTCCTGGGCCGGCCCAAATACCTAAACGATAGGCCAGAAGGATGATCCAATCTCCAACCGGAAGGCCTCGCTAAAGAGGAACAACGGTCGCTTCCGGCTCCAGCCCGCCTCTCTGACTGGAAGGCCTGGCCAAAGAGGACTTCCAACTCCGACCTGCGTCTCCAACCGGGGATACACCGAACCTCTGCTTACAGCTCTTCTCCAACTGGCACAATCAGAGCCGACTGGGACCAACCGACCGGGGACACCCGCTCGGTGAGGACTAGGAAACGGGCGGAGCAAGTAAAGCAGGACGCTCAAAGTCAACAGCAATACCGAGGATAGTACCCTGCACACCTGCAGGACAGTACCAACATGACATGTCAGAAGAGTGCCCTACAACCTTCCAGGCATGTCAGAACCCAAGTAATGTTGCGGGTGCCGACATTTGCCCTATAGTGTTGTGGGCGCCTGCAAACTCTCATACCAGACGAACACGGTAAAACCCCTTACATGCCTCTGGGCATCAACAGTATGGCAGGCACCGACGTTTGCCATACCAAAAAAAGACGACGCAATCTCCCACATGCATCTGACAACAACAGTGTTATAGGCGCCTACCATTATCTTGTACCCGACGGCATGGGCAACAAGACTTAGTAGCATGCGCACTCTCTCTCTCGCTTGTAAGGCCGTCCCCTTTATCTATAAAAGGGGATGTGTTCTCTCCCAACAGATAGATCCCTCAGTTCACTTACATTTATTCACCCTCTGTAGCTTTAGACACTCTAAAGCTACACAGAGCACACGCTCAAACACTTAGCACATAGCGGATCTCCCGTCACTCTCAGCCCTTCAGACTAGAGCCCAACTGAACCTCTTGTACCCCCATCTTTCTCTCTTCCATTTGTAACCCCACAACAAACTTCGAGCACCTGGGCTTAGGAATAAAGTCATCGACCGACTCAAACTGGACGTAGGGCACGTTGCCTGAACCAGTATAAACTCTGTGTCATTGAGTGCTAGGCCACCTTCAATCATAACGTACAACAAAACTACAAATATTTACGTGTTGGTCACTTTCTACACCGACATCGATCCTCTTCTCTAATCGCTGCCCTGATCCAATCAAACAGAGAGTAAAGAACGGGCTTGATACTCATAATGAAGCATTCCAATCAACCTATCTTGGTATGCCATCTTGGGTGGGGAGGTCTATTTCAAACACCTTTAATTTCCTAGCTGATCGGATTTGGAAAAAGATTAGAGGATGGTGTGATCGACCACTATCAAGAGCTGGTAGAGAAGTGATGCTCAAATATGTGGCTCAAGCAATTCCAACATATGTAATGAGTTGTTTCCGCCTTCCACCCAAAGTATGCAATAGGCTGAGATCAATTATATCTGACCATTGGTGGGGCTTCGAGGATGGCAGAAAGAAAATGCATTGGCGATCCTGGGATTGGCTGACTGCACCAAAAGCTGTTGGGGGATGGGTTTTAGAGATATGGAATTATTCAATCAAGCAATGCTAGGAAGGCAAAGTTAGAGAATTCTTACTGTACCAAACTCTTTGTGTGCTAAGGTGATTAAGGGTAGGTATTTCCCCCATGGTGACTTCTGGAATGCGAAACAACCAAGAAATTCTTCTTACACATGGCGCAGGATGTTATTGTTGGATATATTATGGGCTTAGCCCGTATAATATTTAATAAATCAAATAAACTCTATGGTCCATAACATTAAGCGTTGTATGGTTTAATACCGTACGGGATTTTGGCTGAACGTTAACTCAGTGTATTTGGTTAGAAAATATCCATCTTAATTGAGAAGCTGAGAAAAAGACACAGGAGTGCCACACGCGCACGCGCGCCGCCGCCGCTACCGGCGGCTAGGCCAGGCCGTGGGCATGGGCGTGGGCCGAGGCCATGGCAGGCAGGCGGCGAGCGAGCAAACGGGTGGGTGTGGCCAGATTTTACCACTTAATCCACATAATTACGGGAGTTTCTATCTTTTATGGTGGAGGCGAGTTGATTGCGCCAGTTACCGTCTCTTCGTGTCTCCGTCTCCTGAGTTTCTCCGCTGGCTTTCTCCCTCCCCTCCGCTGGGCATAAAAGAAAAAGTCCTCCATCAGTCCAATCTTCCCTTCGCTTTTGAGAGACCACATCTCAGCCGCCCTTTGGTTTTTCCCGTCCCGTACCTCTGCGCGCACGGAGTAACGAGAGAGTAGGTGCCTCCGAAACCCTCGTCCGCCTGCAAACCTTGCACGGGGTGTGCGGCAATTAGGTTTTTGGGGAGCGATTCCACGACTGCTCATCCATGTCGTAGACGCAGACGTCTTCTTCCTGGTGATCGCTCGCGGAACAGCAAGGTGTCTTCTTCCTGGTGACCGTTCATGGGACTGCACTGCGAACACCTTCCTGCATCGACTATGGTCCACGACTTCGAGCAACGCACTATGTCTGGTGCGAATGGAGCCTCCGATGCCCTCGGCATGGGACCCTCCGCTGGGTACACTCTTAACTCTCTGATTACCGTATTTTGTGTACTTACTGTATCGATTGGTATGTCATACTTGAATGATGTAGTGTTTGTTAGTGATATACACATACACATATATGTCGTCACGTACCTGCCGATGTTTTATTTTTGGATTAAATTGACCATGAAAATGCCTAATTATCTAACAATCCAAAAACCTAATGTGAGGCAATTTTCTATCAGTGGTTTTGCTGCTGCTTTGAAGCCAAATAACTTTGATGGCAAGAATTTCATGATATGGCATGCCAAGATGGTGTTGTGGTTGACTGCTATGAACTGCTATCACGCCACATAGGGAAAGCCTGAACAATTTACTCCTGAGGAGGAGCAAAAGTTCTTGGCTGCCGATAACCTATTTTGAGGCGCCGTGATTAGTGCACTTCATAGTAAGTATGAGAAAAACTACATATCTTGCACATCAGGCAAAGAATTATGGGATGCTCTTGAGGCAAAGTTTGGAGTTTCTGATGCTAGTAGTGAGTTGTACCTTATGGAGCAGCTATATGACTACAAAATGGTTGAAAACCGTTCTGTAGTGGAACAAGCTCATGAAATGCAGGCGCTAGGAAAGGAACTAAAACATTTTCCATGTTTGTTGCCCGACAAGTTTATGGCTGGCGGTATAATCGCTAAGCTGCCACCTTCTTGGAGGGATTTTGCTACTTCTCTAAAACACAAGAGACAACAGTTTAGCGTGGCTGAGCTTATTGGATCTCTTGATGTTGAGGAGAGGGCGAGAGCAAAAGAGAACCGTGGAAAAGGAGTTGAGTCTTCCGCTGTCAATATGGTGCAGAAGAAAAACTCATTTTGCATCCCGTAATAAAAAGAAGAAGAACATGCAAGAGAACAACAATACAAAGCCTAAGCAAACTACTGGGTTTAAGAAGAAAAACAATAAGAAAGGCGGAGGTTGCTTTGTGTTGCGGGAGTGATGAGCATTGGGCAAGTGCGTGCCCAGACCTCAAATATAAGCAAGAAAAGAAATTAGCAAACATGGTGATTAG